AGGCTTGAGCCACCGCGCCTGGCCTTTTTTTTTTTTTTTTTTTTTTTGAGACACAGTTTCACTCTTATCCAGGCTGGAGTGCAGTGGCACCATCTCGGCTCACTATATTCTCTGCCTCCCGGGTTCAAGTGATTCTCGTGCCTCAGCCTCTCGGGTAGCTGGGACTGCAGGTGCCCACCACCATGCCTGGCGAGTTTTTATATTTTTAGTAGAGACTGGTTTTCACCATGTTGGCCAGGCTGGTCACAAACTCCAGATGATCTGTCCACCCTGGCCTCCCAAAGTGCTGGGATGACAGGTATGAGCCCAGCCCTAAAATTTACTTTTTAAATGATTTTAAGTATATTCACAAGTGTGATTGATTACAAATAATTCCAGAACTTTTTCATCACCCTGGAAAGAAACCCCATGCCTGTTAGACACTCCTCATTCCCCCAAATCCTTCAGTCCTAGTCAATCACTAATCTACTTGCTATAGATTGCCTATTATGGACATTTCATATATTAATAAATAGAATCATATGTAACCGTTCGTGCATGGCTTCTTTCACTTAGCATAATGGTTTTAAGATTTATCCATGTTGGAGCATGTATGAGTATTTCATTACTTTTCACTGCTAGATAATATTCCATTGTGTGGATATACCACATTTTACCCAGCCATTTGTCAGTTGTTAGGTATTTGAGTTGCTTCCCTTTTTCATCATTGTGAATGATGTTGCTGTGAACATTTTGTGTGGACATAGATTTTTATTTCTCTTGGGTATATACTTAGGAGTGGAATTGCTGGATTGTATGGTAACTCTGCATAACATTTTGAGAAACTGTTTATAAATTGTTTTCCAAAGCAGCTGTACCACTTTGTGTAAAGTGGTATTTTATTGTGGTTTTGATTTGGCCCAAATGAGTTACATAGAAAAGATCAGAGTAGATGGAGATAGGTTTCTCAGAAGAGGTTGGAATTTGAACTGCTAGAAAGGGGAGATTTGGAGAATGGAGAGGGATTACCAAAGGAAGAAGAGTGGAAGTTATATGACTTAGAAATGAGGATAAACCCGTCTCGTTTTAAGTATAGAGGAGCGATCTCAGCTTATGATAGCTCTACTCTAGTCTGTTTTGACTGTTCTTTAAAGGATCCCTTTGCCAAAATGCGCAAGAGGGTTGCTTTTCTTGAGGCCTGTCGTATAGCGCAGTTGACATATCTCTCTGGTTTGTGATGAGACCAAGAGTTGGAATGTGACTTCCTTTCCAGGCCTTCTCCCTCTACTGCCTCTTCCCCTCTTCCATTTCTCCACCACAGTGCTGTCTTCCCAGTCTCCAAAGGTGAATGTAGAAAGACTTAGAGTGGTGGAATAAAATTCTCTTTGAAGACCAAGCTTTCCCTTATTAGTGCTCAGTCAGCCACTTGAATTTTCATGACTTTTCTGGAAAATATGTTGCTGCTACTCCATCATTCTTCTCTTAGCCATTGTAGTAAACTTAGAGGGGATTGTATAGCAGATAGGAAGGTGGAAACAGGAGGTAAGACCTGGAGGATTGCTCTAGGAAACTATGTTTGCATCCAGTTACTAAATCTGTGTAAGTTCCTGGTTGGAGTTCCGGTTGCAGTTGCAAAGGCCCAGCCTTTTTCCTGGCCCTGGGGAGAACTAATCTCTGGGTTCCTAAAATCCTTTTTGCTTAAAAGGGCTTTGTGGGGACATGGAAAAATGAGGAAGAAAAATAAACAAAATGAAGTTGTTTTGCTCTCTACTTTTACTGAAATTAGTACCCATTCTTTCTAAGTATTCAGGACTTGAAAACAGCCAAATAAAATAAGAAAAGATATATTAAAAAATACGTGTGTGTGTGTGTGTGTGTGTGTACACACACACACACACACACACACACACACACACACATGTTCCTATAGAAAAGAAAGGTGTCATTCCAAAATTTCACTTGTAAGTTGGTTATGGCATTTAGAATGTATTTTCCGCTTAGAGATACTGTTACGTACAAATCAGTGACTGTTGAGGGCAAGGGCATTCCAGGTAGAGGGAATTGTGCATGCAAAAGTCATAGGGAGATAAAAGGTAAAGCTGAAATACAGGATATGAGGATAAAGATTATAGGAGAGGAAGCTGAAGAAGTAGGCATGTGCCAGTGGGACATGATGCCACTGAAGGGTTGAACTGGGGATGTGATGTGATCGGATTTTGGTTTTAGGTAGATTATCCTGGCAGTAGTAGTTTAGAGCAGGGATATCTCTGGCTTGTACAAGATGATCCATTGGAACGTGAGAAGACTATATTAGAAATTGCAATTATTTTTATATCAACCTTCAAAGTTGTTTTTGTATTTTTAATGTATGTATTAGTATAGTAAGACATTATTATAATTCATGGATATTTGTCAGATCTATGTTCACTTTTTTACTGACAGGAAGAACGCATGAAAAAAAATGGGAGGCCACTGGATTGTGGAACTGTATAATCGTTTGTACTGCTTAAGTTCAAGGACCAGATTAAGGTTTTGGCATTGTAAAGGAAAGGAATGATGGGTTGGCATGGTGGCTCATGCCCGTAATGCCAGCATTTTGAGAGGCCCAGGGGGGTGGATGGCTTGAGTCTAGGAATTTGAGACCAGCATGGGCAGTATGGTGAAACTCTCTCTACAAAAAAGTACAACAATTAGCTAGGTGTGGTTGCATGTATCTGTGGTCCCAGCTACTTGGAAGGCTGAGGTGGGAGGATCACTTGACCTCCCACAGAGCTCAGGAGACAGGTTACAGTGAGGCAGGATCGTGCCACTGCATTCAAGCCTGGGTGACAGAATGAGACCTTGTCTCAAGAAAAAAAAAAAAAAGATGGATTTGAGAGATTTTAAGTAGGAATGACAAGACTTGGTGACAAATTACATGTAAGAGACAGAAGAAGAATCAAAAATGATGTGCCCAGGTTATCAGAGTTATGTTACAAATGGTGAGGACTAGCTATGTAATGTTTGCTTTTCTGAGGAAAAGTGAAAAGTTGTAATTGGGATAAGGCATTTTAGTCCGCAGTGAGAAAGGAAGGAACCTTTAAGGGATCTATAGTGAATGTGTATGCTTTATTAAATAAGTAAGACTTAAAGTGGACTGGACCAGATTGCTGAAGGGCAATCTGTTCTTGGTAGATTTAGAGACGGGGGATAAAAACACCTTTTGAACTCACTTTAGCCACAGGAAAGGTTTCAGGAGTGTTGCATTAATCTTGCCTATACTGTATGAATAAATGGAAGGAAGGAAGGAAACCAATCTAGAGAAGATGCTGTTTGACTCGGTGCTGGCAGTTCTTGTGCTCCGGGGTGTGAGAGGAGCCAGGGGTATGTGAGCATTGGAGTTTTGAGTCCCCAGAACTATACATTCTTCCTCTGAGTTATAAATTTCTGAGCTTCAGGTTTTAAAAAAATTTATTCATGGAAGGAAGCTAATAAGTTCACCTAGAGGGTTGTTGTGATAATTAAAAGAGATCTCGTGCCTAGTTCTCAGTGGAGATATGACTCTTTAGTAAATGGCAGCTATCATTGATATTGCTTGGAGAGGATAAAACACAGTTGCCTGAACAACCTGGAGTTAAAAATAAGTTAAAAGACAGTAAGTATGTTCCTTTTTATAGTATTACAGTTTTTTTTGTTTTTGTTTTTAAAAACCAAAGTATTTGCTTCCTTTCAGTAGGAATGTTAGGATGACGTGTAATGTTTTTTACTAAATTTATTTGAAAGATTGAGATGCCGATATATGCAAATCGCTATTGCTCTTGCTGGTTAGGAAGAAAGGAAGCCTGTAGTCTACTAAGACAGATAAGATGAGCATGCAAACAATTAGAATTAATAACATTTAAGAACACTTATGCCCCCAGCCAGGCCTGGTGGCACATACCTGTAATCTCAGCACTTTGGGAGGCTGAGACAGATGGATCATTTGAGGTCAGGAGTCCGAGATCAGCTAGGCCAACATGGCAAAACCTAGTCTCTACTTAGAAAAAAAAAGGCCGGGCGCAGTGGCTCACGCCTGTAATCCCAGCACTTTGGGAGGCTGAGGCGGGTGGATCACGAGGTCAAGAGATCAAGACCATCCTGGTCAACATGGTGAAACCCCGTCTCTACTAAAAATACAAAAAATCAGCTGGGCATGGTGGCGCGTGCCTGTAATCCAGCTACTCAGGAGGCTGAGGCAGGAGAATTGCCTGAACCCAGGAAGCGGAGGTTGCGATTAGCCGAGATCGCGCCATTGCACTCCAGCCTGGGTAACAAGAGCGAAACTCCGTCTCAGGAAAA